TTGGTGGGCCTGCGCCCTCCATTGTGTTTGCGTGACTGAGCTGCCTCTGTTTCACAACGAGCCACAGCTCAGCATGGCGTTCTGCTCTATCTGGAAAGGCGCCCTCAACTGCCACGCCCTTCGTGAATGCTTTGCTTGGGCCATGAGCAGGTCGCTTAACGAATTGTTAGCTCGTTTTCAACCCCATCGACAAGAGCAACGTTCTAGCTCCTTGGCGGCAAGAATGGCCATTGCCGTAATACTTATTTTTCACTGATTCTGACCATGCAGTGCGGTTTCGAGAGCAACAGCGGCTAGCCATCTCGGGCTTGGCAGCGGCCTAATTTATCATTATTGTTCATTGAGAACAAGATTGCTTAAATCAAAACACAGTGCACCTGTGCGCTTTGCCAGTATCTATTTGAGGCGAGGTACGAGTATCACTGGCAGAAAACGGCATGTCTGTGATGCCAACTGCGACGCCATTTTGACACAAAATGGTGCCGTCACAGTGACTGCGATGGCGTAAAAGTGGGTGTGATGGCATCAATTAATGTCAAGTGGCATCTCAGTTGGCATTGCAAGAATGCTGTTTTCTGCCTGTGCATATGCATGCATGGTGAGCACGCATTCACCGTTCAAGGTGTCAGTACGTGCATGTGAAAATCGTTGAAACAGTCGATGATACTGCATCTTGTGTTTCTCATTCGCTCTGCGCTTGCGTGCGTTTCCTGTTGCAGATATTTTCCACAGAAAGTTCTAAGGGGACTTGAAGACTCTATATTGCCAGCACGGTAATCAAAATGATCTCTAAAAGTTCAAGAATTTCTGCGTGAAGGTGCTCAAAACACCTCGCCACTGCACCATGTGCCCGTACTTCGCTGAAACAATCTTCCACATCGTCACTCGCACCGTTTCCATGTCATTCACAAGATCCCCATTTTCACCAATCCCCCCGATTCACGAACGGTGTACCTGTCCCCCACGGCCAGCCCGCCGAAATCATCCACCTTCCCAGACGGCCACACCACGCTCAGATTCACAGCGACCGCCGGCTCAGCCACCCCGAAGTGCACCACCGGGCTGTGGCTCGAGGCGAAGCTGCTTCCCGCCGCCACCACCCTCCCCTGGCAGGTTCCCTCCCCGCCACCTTCCGGGCAGATTCGCACCAGCGCGCCCACGCCCATCCTGTTGCTGTCGCTGCCCTCCAGCGCCACCCCCACGTGCCGATCCCCGCGGGCTGTGCCTTGGAACAGGTACAGGCCAGGTTCTCCCGTAAAAACGTCTTCATCTGCGCTCCCCTGCGCGGACGAGCAAACCACCATGACGTCCTGGCTCCCGTCCTCGTCGTAGTCGGCCGTCGCCAGCCCGCTGCAGAACTTATCCCCCAGCCCCAAGTCCCCCTGACTTGGCCGAAAACTGCCACTCCCGTCGTTGACGAACATTCTACCAGGGTTCCTTAGGCCCAGCCACATGGGCGCGCCGATGAGGGATCCCACTGTGACCAAGTCCGCGTCGCCGTCGTTATCCAAGTCGACGAAATCCGAACCCCAGTTGAACTCGTGCCAGGCGAGCCCGCTTGAGAGGGACTCGTTGATGTAGGCGCCGTCCGGCGCACTGACCAGCAGGAGGTGCTGCTGGCTCTTCTCGGGGTCGCCCGTCTGGCCGAAGAAGAAGTCCACTCGCCCGTCGCCGTTGAGGTCCGCCATGGCGACGCCCATCCACAGGCCTTCTTCGAGCTTCCCGAACACCGATTCGGTTGCGTCCTCGAACGAAACCTGTGAAGCTCAGCCGTTGCTGTTTCAAATATCGGAAAATTGCGCAATTTAAATGCTTGAAATGAAACTAAATTGGCTCTTTGCGTCGCTGTCAAAAAGGGGCGACAGAATGGCGGCAGGTTGGAGCTCGCCCAGTAATTATTGGGAAGTTGAGAAGTTATAGCTACACTACCTCATTGAAAAGTTATGGATGTGTTCCACCACATCGCGTGCAAGCCTCCATTCATTCTACGACCGAATGGGGTCTGTTGCCAGCTCTATCCCAGGATGTGGCGCCCCACATGTGCCAATATGATAATCCCTGTACAGCGATTGAAGACGCAACTGATGGTCGACCACCAGACCATCACCTGCGCCGTCTCGCCCAGGGTGTTTCTCATGAGGCGAATGGGCCCCGGGATGATGTCCACGGTGCCGTTTTCGATAGAAATGAGGTTGCAGGATGCCGTGATGAGGTCTTGGCGGCCATCCAGATCGACGTCGACGAAAGTGGAGACGCAGGTCGAAGGATTATCGACGTCGATGCCGGAGTCTTCAAAACTAAAATTGCCCTGCGCGACAGCACCTGTTTTCACCGGGATATGTTATCACAAGGAGACAAATGATCTGTACAGATCGTTGAAATGTCAATGCAATTTGACGCTTCGATAGACACAATGTCACAATTGCAGTCCAAAAGAGATGAACAAGGCAATTGCTGCTGTCCATGCTATACGATTTCATCCGGTGGCAACAAGGCTTGGCTAGCAACTTTGATAATCTCACAATGTGAAAACTAACACTGTAAACAGCTGCGAATCCGCATATACTGGTATTGTTTTTTTCCAAGTTGGAACAGTATGAAACAGACAGGACATTGCAAAACTGGCACTTTCTGTCTTTGCGAGGTGGCAAGTTTGCAAGCAGATGCGCCAGATCTGGCGTTTCTAGAAATGCAGCCTCGTTGCTTGGGATGAAGGCATGCATCCGTCTCTCGCACCAGCTTACTGCCTCCGCTTTTAAACCAACAACCGCCCTTCTGGCTCGCAGGCACATGGGTGGAACGCGCGCACTACAAGCACTTCAGGAATGCTATGCAACTGAGTATATTGATAATGGTGAATAACTATCATGTGCATTAATATATCAGTTCTGTTTCTATCCCCATTCACCTTATAGTATTTTTATCACTTTCATCCAATCAAATCTGCAATCGAAAGCATAAATCACCCCTGCGATCCCTACCGCCATTATTGAATCCTGGTACTCACTACAAATCGTCCATTTCATTGCTTCACCCACTACCTTGTTAATGTACAGCTTGTTCGTGTGCACGCCCTTGAGGTCGACGTTGTTGGTCATGGGCAGGGCCTCCCCAACAAACAAATCCAGCAGGCCGTCGCCGTCGACGTCGCCCGCCGCCCCCGACCATTCGTTCACCACCGGCTTCAAGCCGTTGGCCAGGTGCGCCTTGAACCGCCCGCCGCCCAACGCTTCGTAGAAGACGCCGGTGGAGCAGTTCAGTGGGTGGCCAATTCCTCGGCTGTTGGTGCAGCCGGACGTGTACAGATCCGCCAGGCCGTCGTTGTTGAAGTCGGCTGCCAAGGTTACGGCACGGCTACCCAGAATCTGTGCAACGGGCGCGGCATGCTGAGGTCGTTTGCTAATGGCTGGATTCGAAAGGCCAAAACACCCTTTCAGGACAAATTAGCACAAGCACGTACTGTAAAGTACTGAACCTTGTATCTTTCCTCCCAAAACAGTGTTAAAGCGGCGCCCTTGGATTTTGAGGGCGATGGCGGATTCGCGCGCGTTGGGCCCCCGAGTCCCTGGGATGCCAGGAGATCGCTTTGTGATTGCTGCCTGTGCACAGGACGTTGAGCCATGCTCAACAAGTTCGTGTTGGTGACAAAGCCGTTGTGACAAGTTGGTGACACGAAAATACGGTTAAGGTGTGCATGGACCTACTACAAAATATTTTACAGTTCAGCATGTGAATATGAGCAATTTATGTGTTGTAGCACAAACAATATTGCGTCATAAGAATTTTGCAAACCTCTCATCCACTATGGCGTTATAGTGGACAATAACCGCGTAAGAGGTGCTAGCTGCAGGACATGTTCTCCGAGCATCAGCGATTCAAGAGAATTGGGGAGCAGTTGGTATCTGCTGTGGATTGGTGCACACGTGCATCGTGCCTGAATGCATTGATATCGACACATCGAGTGCAAGCGTGCATCAGTTGCGAGGGTACTACACGTAGTAACCTTGCAACTTATGCATGCTCGCGATCGAGATTTTGCAGAGCGGAGTTGTTGGAAGTACCTGCTCATGCATGTGTCCATGGCTGCCAAATCCATGCCCCACGAGCATGAAACACCTCAAGAATTCGACACGTTGCACATCAATAGACGAGGTCGCAAGCAATCAACAGAGATGGGGATCTTTGGCCCGGCACCACTAGGGAAAAAAGGGCCAAATAACACGTGTTCAAGCATGTGCAAAGTTTACGGGTTTGGGTTATTATTGTGTTCTTAGCGTGCAGAACATTGATAAACTCCTTTCATATGTGTTCGCTAAAAGTGTTACTTTTTTTTCTGCTAGTGGCACTAAGCCAAAAACGATTCAAACGCGGGGGAAAATCCACCAAAACTAGGGATTTGCAATGCATCCGAACGGCAACGCCTTTGCAATATTTTACCAAATCTCGCCTCATTAGCCGAATCTGCGGACACGTAATGTCGCCAAACCGTCATGCATCTAGTCACGACGGCCACGGCCCAACGACGGCGAGCCACCGCAATCAGCTGCAGGGCACGTTCTCTGCGCATCAGCTATCCAAGAGAATTGGGGTGCAGTTAGTATCTGCTGTGGATTTGGTGCACATTTGCATCTTGCCCAAACATACACTGAGATTGATACGCCGACATTGCCAATCTCGCTTCAGCAGCCGAATCTGTGGACAGGTATGGACACGTAATGCCACCAAACTGTCAAGCATCCAGCCACACGACGGCCACCCCAACAACGGCAGGCCGCCGCAAACAGCGCGAGAGCTCCTCCTGCGCCCAGTCCCGCGCGCCGGCATCTCACCCTCAGCACCGGGTCCTCTCACACCGCAGCCCCCTTTCACCCACAGCTTTGCGAACTCCTTTTTGAAGCACAACGACGTGATCCCGCGGGTCGCACGCCGAACGGCCGAAGTTCTTCACCTCGAGGAAGCGCCGGCCGCGTGCCTTGTCTGCACGTGCGCTCCGACCTCGCCACATTGGCCGCCGGCCATCGCCTTTCAGAGATCTTCCATCCCGCATGCGCGCCAAGCGAGGCGGATGGAGCACAGCGCGAAGTGGTCCTCCGCCGCAGGCCCGAGCGATCTGACGCAAACCCTTCCCGACGCGAGAAAACGCTCCCAGCGGAGAGCCGCCCGCCAGAGGCGCCCGCCATCACGCAAATCCCATCTCCGGGTGCTCGCCACTGCAAGCCGCCCAATCCCACCCGAAGCAAAACTGCGCTTCCCAAAAAACACGAATTCTGAAAGGCTAACTGCGCCAGGAGCCATCTGCGCTGCGCAGCGGCCGGTTTCTCCACCGAACATCTGAGACCAATCGACGGCGGCGCTCACCGACGGCCCGCCGTCCAGCCCCTCGACGTCTCCGTCCAGGATCCGCGCCACGAAACCTTCACCGGGCCCGCCGTTCTCCAGCCACCGCACGTGCACCCCCTCCTCCGGATCCCCCGACATGACGAAGTCCAGGTCACCGTCGCCGTCGACGTCCATCCATGCGCCTCCGGTGAGGGCCCTCGCAGGAGGATGCGCTTCCAGGAGGGCCGGCGAGTCGATTTGTTGCAGCAGGGGGGTGGCTTGGGAAGTTGATATTCGTATCAGGCAGGCCGCCAGGACGGCTGCGAGGCCCGCCATGCGGTCTCTATGCGCGTGGATTCGCATGGATCCTGTGGGGAGTCCCCGGGTGCTCCAAGGGGGGAATTTCACAACTGGGGTAACGCGGGAGGGTGTTGTGGCCTGTGGGGGAGGCAGCGTCGTGTGTGCTGGCGTTTCTTTTTTTGGTGGTGGTAGCGGGTGGGTGGGTGGGTGGGTGGGGAGGAAATAATATTACCACCTGCACCAAATCGGTGACTGCTTGCACCAAATCACGGGCACACTATGTCCTAACCTCAGTTTTAGGGTTAAGTTTAGCTTTAGGGTGAGTTTTAGGGTAAGGTTTAGGTTTACGGCAGGTTAAGTTTTGGGGTTTAGGGTTTAGGTTTCAGGTTAGGTAAGTTTTGGAGGGATTTGGTGCAAGCAGTCACCGATTTAGTGCAGAAAGTCACCGTTTTGGTGCAGCCAGTAATTTTATGCCGGTGGGGAGGGAGTGGGGGGGCGGGAAGAGTGTGTGTTGGCGTGGATTAATGATGGGAAGGGGGGTGATGATGGTCACACCGATTGTTGGGATTTGATGGCTTGCAGGTACGGGGTGCCGGTGAGCATGTGGGCAGGCGGGGATCGCAACGTTGCGATCTTGCATTAGCGGAAGGTAAAAAATGATGGGTTGTTACTCCTGTCAAATATTGGGATTGAGTCAGTGCGGCTCCCATACAAATCGCCGCTAAGGAGATTCCGGAATCTTGGAGTGACGGCTGGACGTTGCGGTGGATTGTCTTCAAGACTTACAGAGCTGTGTATACGGAAAACCAAGTGCAACTTGGCGGGATTGAGCGAGCGGCCTAGCGCCACTCGGAACGACAGTGATAGGATTGCAACTTGTGTTTGGCTCATTTTGACGGTGCCGCGGCCCTTGACGATTGGATCTCTGTGTCGGCAACTCCCTCATGTTGGCGGGGCTGCGCCCTCTACTGTGTGTGGGTGATCATGCCTCCAACTGTGGCAATTTCTGTATTGTGGAACCATGTGATTGCATCGATCTGCGGTAAATTGCGAGTATGTGGTAGAACATGTTGGAGCGCCCCTCAAACGCCAAACTAATCAGCCATATATTGCGGGGTCGCATTGATCAGTAATAGCGCTGATTGCCACACCGCCCTACCCTAGGATCGCTCTGTCTACAATTGAAACTTCTCAAAGCTTTCGGCATGGGTCCTTTCACTTCGATGCCTATCGGCTACCTCTCCAGCCACTTTTCCTCACTGAAGGGGTCTTGGTCATCAGTAATTGCACTGCCACAGCGATAGTGGAGAACAAAGACAACAAGTCACCTCTTGCGTTTTCTTCAGCACCGCAAAGTTTTTAAATATTTCTGCCTCTCCCAAGCGTTGCTAGCCCTATACAATACTTCAATCTCCATGGCGTGACAGGCCGGGAACAAAACAAGGCAAGATTGGGACCCAAGCGTATGTTTACAGCAGATGTTTGGCAAAAATGCTCCGCGCCACTCAGCCCAACACACTTATCCCAGCCACTAGAGTCCCAATCTCTGAGGACGTCCCCGGATTTTCCAAGGGACAGGATGTGGGGATGTCGCCAAGCTAGGGTGGGGACGTCAGCACGTAGAGGGCAGTTTCCGTCCCCAGAGTCCCTGTCAGTGCACGTCACCAGTCGTCCCCGAATTCGGTCCCCGCCTGCCAGAGACCTCATGTCCCCGGCATCCCCAGGACCCCACGTCGCCGGGCGTCGCCGAAATTTGTTGCTGGGTGGCCAAGGAAGAGCATTTATGCGTCCCCATGTCCCTACGGGGCCAGCAGCCTCAAGGGCCTGCCAAGGGGGTGGAAATGTCGATCCCCACATCCCCACGTCCCCACGTCCCCACAGGAGGGCATGGACCTCAAGTGTTACGAATAGGATGTGGGTGTGGGGTTCCTGCCCTCTTTGAGCCGCGGACCCGCCTCGCCGGGCACCTAGGTCCTTACAGGGCACCTAGGCGGGACCACCCCTCCTACTCCCGTATCCCAATATGGATAAAGGTTACATTGGGTGAGGAATAGTACGGGCCTTGGGCAGGGCGTCCCCCACACCAAGAGCCATTAGTAGGACGTCTCCCACATCAGGCTGGTGCGCGTAACATTCGTCCCCCTCAGGGAGAGGGGCGTCCTCGTCCCAGTATAAGTGGATACGGGAGCAGAAACATTGTATGTATGTTGGTGGCACTGGCTGTGCGATTTGCCACATGCCCAGTTAACAAAACACAACACACAAAACAGTTTTGGATGAAGAGAAAGAGTGGTTGTTTTACATGACCGTCCCCGCCTTCACAACCCTCATTAAAACTCTTCCTCAGCCAAGTGGCTGGAAATGTTTGACCTCCCGGCCTTTCATCGGCGACCACGATGCCGAGTACCACCAGAAGCCCACGCCGGTACAGATCGGCCCGGTGCGGCACCCCGCCGTCGCCCACGTCCGCGTGCACGCTCAGGCGCACGGGGAAATGGCACGTAGGGGTCGGCGGTCTCCAACCTCTCCCCGCTGAGGATCGCAACGGACATGGCGTTCATGTGTCCAAACTGCGACCTTGCACGGGGGGCAGTATACCCAGTGTTTTTCTGGGCCCAGCGCAAGAGAACCTGTCAAAAGCATAAGCACACATGAGCATGTTTCAGTATGTACATCCCATACTTCATGCAGTTTGCATTCGCATCACAGGTGTTCTGCCATTTTCAAATGCTTGAACCAATTCCTGTGCATTTGCAACTGACTTTGCTGATTCCCAGCTGTTATGCTCATGTCTATATCCCAGCCATTTGACAAGGTACTCAACATAGTTTTTGCGTCTCCCACGCTTTTAATCCTTTTGTCAAGGATACGTTCAACTTCATACTCCAGTTCACCTTCGATCTCGATAGGTACTGGGGGTGGCTGTACTCTGCCACTTGCCTTATAAGGCTTGATTTTTGTTACATAAAATACTGGATGTATCCTATGCATGCTTTCCGGGAGTTCTAGTCGATATGCAACAGAACCTATCCGGTCGAGGATGGTGAAGGGCCCAATCCACCTCGGTAATAGTTTTCGAGTCCCAGGGTGTTTGAGAGTAATATGCTGTGTCGAAAGGAGGACGTCATCTCCTTTACTAAACGACACCTCTCTTCGATGGCGGTCAGCATGCTTTGACTGCCTATCTCGTGCTTGCTCTAAGCACGCCCTGGCCTCTTTCAGCGCTGATTGGACACGGTGATCAAATCGTGTCACTGCTGGTAATCCCTCCACGAGGGGTGTACCAGACTGCCTCAAATAAGGCTGCTGCGCCCTTTCAACGGCCACTGCCAAGCCGCGGGCATTCGGATTGTCATAGCCCTTTAATGGCTTCCGAATTTGCACACCAAGAGCTAAGGGACTCTTTGGGTGCCTCCCGTAATTCAGATAGAACGGGGTTTCTTGGGTGGAACTGCTTTTCGAGTTGTTCATTGCAAACTCGGCCATGGCTAACAGTTCATCCCACGCGTCATGGTCAGAACGCGTATAACTGCGTAAGTAATCCTCCAGAACCCGATTCATGACTTCGGTCTGGCCATCCGTCTGTGGATGGTACGCAGTGATCATGTTGAGCTGGATCTTCCACCTCTCGGCCAGGTACCGGTAAAACCTGGAAGTGAACCGAACGTCTCTGTCGGACACTATCTGAGAGGGGAGGCCGCGGTGCCTTATCACATTCTGCACCAACAGGTCAGCTGCTCCTTCTGCGGAGAGCTCGGTGGTCGTAGCTGCAAGGCGGACCATTTTGGTCAGTCTATCGACGAACACGACGATAGCATCATGACCTCCCTTAGTTTTTGGCAGTTGTGTAATGAAGTCCATGGACAACTCTGTCCATGGTTCCTCAGGAATGCCCAGTGGCTGTAATAAGCCTGGGGTCTTATGACGAGGGTACTTAACCTGTTGACAAACCAGGCAAGTATCGACGTACTGGTGTACTTCTCGTCGCATTCCTGGCCACCAGTAATGCCGCTGGACCAAGTCCAGGGTCTTGGCTTGACCAAAGTGCCCAGCACTTGGATGGTCATGAGCCAACTGGCAGATCTCAGTCCGCAGACTGGGAGACTCCGGGATATACACCTGAGTGCCTCGCAGCCACAACCCGTCTGTACAGCGCATATCTTGCTGCTGTCTAACAGACGCAAGCTGGGGATCCTCGCCATAGGCCTGACGGATCCTGGAGGCTAGATCTTTGGCCTCTACCGTTTCAGTTGCCTCTTTTTGGCTGCCCCACTTATGTTTTACTCTTAAGCCACATACAACTAGTTGACTTTTCCTCTTAGCCTCCTGCTCATCGGGCGATGGAGGAATGCGAGAGAGTGGATCAGCCACATTCTTTCGCCCTGGGCGGTATTCCCAGTCAAAGTCAAACTGCTGTAAGATTTCTGACCACCTGGCCTGTCTGCGGCTCAGTTGTGGTTGTGACTTAAGGTAGGTCAACGGACAGTGGTCCGTTACCAGTTTGAAGCATGTTCCTTCAAGGTAACATCTCCACAACTGGACAGCATGGACCGAAGCTAAAGCTTCCTGGTCTGTCACGCTGTAGTTCAACTCCGCTGGGAGGAACTTTCGACTCGCATAACAAATAGGGTGATTGTCCTGCATCAGGACCGCCCCCACAGCAGTTTGTGAGGCATCGGCGATGACCTCAAATGGTCTCTCAGGATCTGGCATTTTGAGCAAAGGAGCCGTGGTCAAACACTCCTTGATGTGCTCAAATGTTGACTGACATTTCGACGTCCACTCCCACTTGCCATTCTGTTTGGTCAAGTCTGTCAATGGAGTCGCCATTTTCGAATAGCCCTGAATGAACTTTCGAAAGTAATTTGCCAGTCCGAGGAACTGCTGTACGTGCTTCACGCACTGAGGTACTGGCCAGTTCTTCACCTTTTCAATCCCTTCGGGATCTGGGCGAATTCCCTCTTGAGACACGATGTGTCCCAGGCAGGAAATCTCCTCCTTATTGAACTGGCACTTGTGCATTCGACAGTATAACT